GCAAGATTTCATTTTCGCCTGAACCGGACGCTCGAACATGAGCCTCGAGCACCTGCACACCTTCGTTCCGCAAACCGGTGCTCGCAGCTCGGTCTTCTTAAAGGAGCCTGACAGGCGACCAAGACCATGCAATGAGTTCGTTGGTTTCGAAGCTATGAGTAAAGACCAAATAAATAAGAGTCAGACTAGGTGTTTCAAAGTGTTGTAGGCACAGATAACTGAAGATTATATATGAAGTTTAAGATGCTGTGGTCTCTTTTTTGGCCTCAGGCTCCCTACGGTATATAGATGGGGTCTGATCTAATTTTTGCAATTTGGTCGTGTTGTCAGGGTGACCTGTCTAAAGTCCTCTATCATAGTATACAGCGTTGAACCGTTGACTTGGTATCTTCCCAGACAATTAGCATACATCGTAGTCTACATCGTCAGTAAGTCTTACCATGCTTAGCATCAATCTGAAAGAGAGAGAGAGAATGTGTAGTCCGTCTCTTGATCAACTTCTACCGAAGAATGTGCTATCACTCTTCTTGTCTTGATGCACCTATCTACTTCCCATCATCGTATCTCATATGTGAATTAACTATGTTGACGTGCCAGGCCAGGAGGAGGAGTGATAATACAATTATTCGGCAGAAAGTTGGACCTAAGATGGACTTTACTTCCTATTTGACGAGTTATAACTTGGTCCAAAGAATGGCAAGACTCACTTATGATACTGACTTAGATGCTAACGAAACGTCTGGAAATGTACCAAATCCAGGAAATATCATAACTAATGAAGCAGAAGACTTCAGACAAGTTGCGCTCATCTCGGTCGCCCTGACAACACGAGCCATTTGCGAAAAGAAGGTAAAACCACTTATATACGGATAAATGAATTTCCGCAAAGCCATTTATGAGGCAATCCTTTGTGAAATTCATTGGCTTAGTGAGGCCAACACATTTCATACCTGGAACTGCCCCTCCCAGATCTTAGAGATGAAGGTCAAAATAGCATAGCATCGGGTTTGCTTGCAGTCCACTTTAGCTGTGTTCATTTGTTATTACCTCGCCTTCGCAAATTAGTCGAGAAATAGAATGACATTATGGAACGAATCCAGTTCTGAATCCTCTTACAAAGTAGTCATACTGATTTCCAGCATACAAAAAATGGCTTCTTACATTCCCAGACGTTTCGCCGGCATCCGCGCTGAGTCAAAACTCATCGGGGTGATAACGGAACATATGTTTCTGCTTGACCACCAATCTGTTCGACATTGTGGCAGCGCTTCCCTCCTCCGCTTGCCCTAGGCTACTAGCGCTGCATCCTTGTCGCCAATCCCACCTGATATAACCCACTTTCTTCCCATTGTCTTTCAAGTGTGTGGTTCTTCAAGTAGGTTTATTGAAGCGTAATCATCTTAACCAGCAGTTTCGCATTCCATCCTCAGGGTTTGTTACTACAACTGGATTTTTCAGCCTTAAAATCACTTCTCTAAGCTTCTTTCAGCTGTTTCCATATAAACTTGCTAACATACTAGAATTACATTTACGTCAGTCTCGGGGATTTATTCACAGGATTATTTGATGGGATATGTAGCTAGCCTCACCAAGAAAAGCTCTCAGAAATGTGATTCTCAAAACTACTCTCTTTTTAAATCCCCCTGACTTCTGAACTCCAATCCGCCAGATATCACACCCCCTATCCGATCAAGCATCACCTTAAACGACCTCGAACTTATACAAGAGATAATGATGGTCTATAAGGCTACTCACCAAATTGGTAACAGTGTGTTCGAATATCATGGCAGATACAAACTCGTTTTATCGACAACAGTGCCACTATAATAATGCGAACTGGGAGAGGCTTGGCTTCCATGTAATATCGCATCGCTGACGCTTTCTGCTATGGCGTGGAATGATACCTGTGTCATTTGAATCGCACGACTCGGTACTACAACCAATTCGAGGGGGGGTTAATGAGATGTGGACGAGGTCAAAACTTCAATCGAGATTAATTTCGGGAGTTTAGGCTGATTGAATTTTAATGTAATCTTGATGTTCATTCCCTTCATTGTGAGATATTCAAATTTTAGTCATAGCTCTGAGTAGTTAGAACAGAGTATAACTTCACTCCGGACTATGTAATGTTTACTGTTCTAAGAGGTTTGATTGAAAATGCTGAATACTTACTTCTAGCAATTAGGCATAAATAGATCCTACCCAATTCCCTACAACAATTCTCTATATTTTACTGTATTCCCTTATCCGTCTTCTAGCAAGATCGACTTACGAATCTCCTCGTCAGGCTCTTTCAAACGAAATTAAACTAGCCATATCATCGAATTGCTGTTTTAGCTCGTTTATGCAAGAATATCATCCACTAGGCCATTCTAGTCTAGTCTTGGTAATTTACAGACCTTCTCTACAGCTCATAGCCAGTAGATAGCACCCAAAATTGAGAATCTTAATAAAAATCGAGTCCATGAGATCCATGAATGAATGAGCAGTGGTAAACCGTTGGTCTGCTGCCGGTAAGGCGACACCATTTTTCTCGACGTAGCCAATGACTATGTGACACTAAACTACGTCCAGGCAAGAAAGAGACCATGGAGAACTTTTCCCCAAGTTTCTGGTTGACATTTTTACGAGAGCGATTCATTGCGGAGTAGCATTAACTGAAAGAGTGTCCTGTTAACTTATAATTGAGTCAACTTATGTCCTTTACGGTAATTAAAGGAATATATTTGAATTATATTAGAGGTAATCACTTTATTTCGTTTAAGGTGATGAAGGACTGGTAGTAGAATCTTCCCACAATGATATGAGTAGAGCTGACGTTTCCATTGAACTTCACGTAGCCTTGCTTTCCCAAAAGTTGTTCTCATCAAGGGTGGACTGCAGTTTCGACCTCGCCTAGGTCTTATCAACACCCCCAACGGGAGTTGAACCATGACAGTGCAGCATGTGAGCTTGGCACTTTAACCACTCAGCCGCATTACCACGAGTGTCCTTGGTTCACAGGGAAGATGTGAATTTCAAGGAAGGCCAGGCCTTTTCCCATGTCACATTCTTTGGTGGGATTGTTGATGTAGCAAACGTATTTTTGTTATAACAATCGACAACATTATTTATCTTCAAACTCTGCTTATATACGAAAATATATGTGAATTTCCCCCATGGAAAAGATTAGACGATCTCAGGGTGCAATTCATTGCACTTATTTTTTATATGAATAGATTTTGACACTAGCAGCAGTTCTAAATAATAATTCATTTCGCATGAGTTGGAATTTTCGCCAATCATATGAGTAGGCCTTATGATACTCCCTTAGCCTTGCCCCCAATAGGTATCTGGGCTGGATACCGGATTATCACTCCACCTCCTAGCCACGGATGCCAGTTTGTCACAGTGGAGATGCGGCTTCAAAGGCAGACTAGACTTTTTACGTAGGTCACTTCCACTGGAGCTGGAGTTGCTAAGGCAAACATATATTTGTCTTTACCATCTATGAAAAATCGGATCTACTGTCAGGTCTTGGTTAGGTCTTTTGGGAGGCAATGTCTAGTGCAATTTCATTGTTTTTCTTTATACTCAGTTCTTTGCAGAGAATCAAACTATAATTCCTTTAAGTACTTTAACCAAGTTAAGATGGCCCGAGATTTTATCCCAAGTCCTGTTTAAACGAAGTGTTATTAGGTTTTGATCATAGATTCGATTTCGTGTTAAGGTATGCTAGCAGATGCTAGTAGGTCGATCTTCCCAGAAGGCAAACAATGATTACCGTTGCCCCGCTTTCGTTTGATTTTACTAGAATCGATGTGATCTTGGCTTGAATACGTTTAATAATCATTTCAATTTCTAAGGAGACCTTTTAAGAGCCAGAAGAGACGAAAGCACAGCTCGTTTTTATCTTACCGGAATTATTATTCTCGTAAATGAGATCAGTTTAAACGCCGCAATAGCACCAAACGACCTCAGAGCTAACGGGGTTTTGCTATTACCCTATGCAGAGCCTGACCTACAAATATCTTCATCCTACGCTTCCCTTTAAATAAGTCACCACAACATTATTTAATATCATGTGAGATTTGGTGATACGATTGGTCAGATCGAGTTTATGTTGGGAAGAATTGTTCAACTAACCTGAGCGTTGACGATTCTGAGCACATCTTAGAATAATTTTCAACGCATCTATATAAGTGGGTGGAAACAATTTTGCCGAAATGCCCTGGTCCTGGAAAACAGTGGGTTTTCGCACATGTTCTGGCGTGGCTATCGCCAAAGATAGACATTTTCCTAAATATGCCCAATGGCGGCACCTTTTAATAAAGGAGATAATTTTAAAAAGCCTTTGTTCAGATCTGTCGTCAAAGAATTTTTCTGTGACAACAAATGCTCCAGTAGAGTTGGCTAAGCCTTAGGAAGGATTTTCGTCCAAATGGGGAAAACTTCACCGCTCTCAGCCTTTTTAGACTTTTTTTGAGACCACCTCTCGGGGAGTTGGGGGAGGGGGAAGAGGCGAATGCTGAATTTCACATCTTTGCTAAACCCCCCAGGCTCACAAGGGCTATTCACACGCCTGGATAGTTGAGAGTTTCCAGTCAAGACTTTAGTACAGGCATAATCGTGTTCATGTCAAGTCTTGGTCTAAGACAAGAGCCACAGGATCAAGCTTCCGAATATACGTTCGGTAGGGCAGTGAAAAGACTAAGCCTTAGACTGCTGCAAGTTGTATTCAAATATAAAAATACATTTACATAAGTGGAGCTAAAGACGAGGACGAAATTGGCACACGTATTTACATTTCAATCAAGGTAGATATGTTTCTATGGTCTGTTGTGTGGTTGTGTAACCCTGACATATGTATAGATATGCGTGTGTATTGTGCACCACATGCATCAGACAGGATAATAGCCGAAGAAGTTGTGTTTTTGGTCAAAACATGTCCAACGGTTTTTTACCGTATTTCACGGTGACTCTCTGGTTCTGGCTTCTCTTTCTTCCTGTTTTCGCCCGATTCAGGCAAGTTCTGGCAGAAGTCGGACACAAGGGGCCTGTACTTGAATTGCAGAAGAGCAGGGCATCAAAGGCTCGACTAAGACTCCAAAAGGTGGTGCAGATGAAGTCAAGGACGATGAGAAAAAAGACGAGAGGAAGGAAGAGGAAGAGGAAGAGGAAGAGGAAGAGGAAGAAGAAGAGGAGGAGGACGAGGAGGATGACAAACACGAGGGAAGAGAGAATGTATATGAAGCCAGGGTATTAGGAGGAGGCAAGGCGATGGGAAACTGGTGTGGATGGAGAGAATCTGGGGGAGGACTGAAATCGTCTTTTTGTTCTCTTTCAGTGGCGTTGGAGTGGTCCTTCTCTTTTGCGTTGGAAACGGGCGGAACTGTAGCCAGGGTCAGGGAATGGGGCGCTGGGGCATAAGGACTAACAGCTGAGAGGCCCAGGTACTGGGGCTTTAACTTGAGCTGCTGCTGCTTTTGGTAGGCAACAAAGAGGTCACACCAAGACCGATTGTGTTGCTGATGCTGTCGAAGCAGCATATCGTTGACTCGTTGATCCCTGAAGGTATTTTCCTCACAACCACAACCACCACCACCACTACCATCATA